GACACCCGACATCGAAGACGGTGTCGAGCCGAAGAATAGGCTTCCTCGGAGGATTGATTGATCCAGAAGGCCCAATGACACCGACTGGAATGGAGGATGAAGAGGGCGAGTGTATGTGTGTGTGTGTGTGTGTGTGTGTGTGTCTGTGTCGTAACCGAACAAACCTTCTGTGGTGGTGCTCGTGCGGCGAGGCGCCATCATCCACCATGACCCTTGAGACCGCCGTAATGGTGGAGAGGAGGTTCTGTTCGGTCTGTATTCTTTTTGGTCAGTAAATGCGGGCTGAAGGAATAAGTTCTGCACGCTGCCATTTTGATCTCCCCCTCATAGATGGAAGATTTGTAGTTGTGTTATTGTCCGTCTTCTTTGTAGTGCTTGTTGCTGTAGGCCGAATTGTTTAAATCCAGGCAAGAATTGACGAGGATAAACTGGTCCTTACCAACTACTTTACTTCTTGGGAAGGTTCCCATTTTCACTTGCTCTCTGGGCGCTGGAATTTCCCGTTCCAGCGCAACTCAGTTTCTTTCTGGGAGTCCGTCTATCTGTCACAAGATCTCATCGCCTCTCCCATTTTCAAATTCCAGTCTTCGCGGAGCACCACCAACTATTACCACCACCACCACCACTTCTTGCTTTTCTCCCCCTTTCATCGATGCTCACCATTCTTTGATAAACCCACCACCCCAAGCTGATGCTCTTCGACACTTCAATGATTTCTCCTTTGGCTCACCCGGTGACCCAATGAGTCTTCCTTCGTGAGCTCATCCGTACCGTACGAAGCGTTTCTCGGACGCCTGCTGGTTCCCCCGACCGACCGCCTCGCCATCCATCCATCCCTCCAGCCAGTGATCCCCACGCCTCTCGACTCGCTCTTCCTTTCCTTTGCCCGATAATATTCTCCTTGACTCTTCTTTTTATTTTTCTCTCTTGCAATCCTTTTTATCTTTTGATTCTTTTCTATACCCCCATCAATTTTCACTCCACTTTTTGCTGGAATTTCAACACGAGAATCCCCCGGGTGTTCGAACCCTGCTCCCAGGTAGTTTCGCAGAGATTAGGATTACTACGAGGAACGACTGCCGCTTGTTACTACGACAATTCGGACGGCCGACGACCATCCGGCGACTGTGAATCTCCTCCCCTCTCTCCTTTCCTCTTTCTTCTCTTCCTCCTCTTCTCGTCCTTATCTCCTTTCTCCTTTCCCTCCTTTCTCTTCCTTCCCCTCTCTCCTTCATCTAGCCGGAATCCGCCGTGAGGACATCCGGCTAGTATACACTTTTTCTTTGCATCATGTCCACCCCTTCCACGGCTACCGCGACGCATCCGCATCAGCAACACTACGGATACCCCCATCATCAACCCTACCAACCGAACGCATCCTATCCCACCACCTCCGCTGCAGCCACTTCTCGCCTCGTCCCCTCTTCATATCCCTATCCCGTTTCCGCCCCGACGCCTACTACCCTTCCTTTCGTGCAATCTCCGAAGCTTATGCCAACCGCACCCACCCCAACGACTACCACAACCACCAACACAACCACTGCCACCACAACAATGCCTCCAGCCCACAACGCTGTGAGCGCTGGCACAACAGCGCAGGGCACCCGGAGGAGGAAGCCCAACTGGGGCGAGTTCTATAAAAATGGGATTCCGAAGGAGGTGATTGTCATCGATGACACGCCCCCTCCGGAACAGTCCAAGGCCTCCTCGCGCAGTCTCGCGACAGCGTCCACCGTCACGGCAGCCAACGGCAACGCTCCTCAGCCGGCCGGGAAAAAACGGCGCACTGGCATCGAGTCTGCCTACGACGTCACGTATTATGATCGGCCGTCGTACTCAATCAATCCACAACACTATGGCGAGGAGTCATCGGCTGCCTCCCTGTCGACTGATCGGACAACCTCTCTGCACACCACGGCTCCTACATCTCTGTCCCAGGGAAGTTCGGGTGCCAGTAATGGGATCATTTACGAAGATGCCAATGTTGGCCAGAAACGCAAGCGCGTAACCACCCGCAAGTCCGCTCGCGATGAGCAAAAACGGCGGGAGTTGGAGAACGCAGGGGATGCGTTCTTGAGCTATGTCCCGCCGCCGAAGCCGCCCATCAAGGCAAAGGATGTTCCGGTACCTGTGGTCCGCGATGTATGTGATAAGTCAACGCCCCATTCTCCTCTCTCTTTCCTTCTTTGCTAACCAACTGTAGTATGCAAATCGAGGCGAAAAGTATGATGACGACGATGGCCATTATATTGTCAATCCTAACACTCCCTTGACTGAGCGATGTATGTGCTTCCTTCGTGGTCATTCAGATACGAGCGATGCTAACGTTTCGCAGACTCGATCATCAAACTCTTGGGGCAAGGTACCTTCGGAAAGGTGGTTGAAGCGTTTGACAAGCAGCGTAAGACCCGCTGTGCCGTCAAGATCATCCGCTCGATCCAAAAGTACCGGGATGCTTCGCGGATTGAACTTCGGGTGCTGTCCACACTGGCCTCCAATGACAAGCAGAACCGCAACAAGTGCATCCACCTGCGGGATTGTTTTGACTATCGCAATCACATCTGTATCGTGACGGATCTGCTGGGGCAAAGTGTCTTCGATTTTCTGAAGGGAAACGGCTTTGTGCCGTTCCCCAGCAGCCAGATTCAAAACTTCGCCCGACAGCTGTTCACCAGTGTAGCTTGTGAGTACTTTTTGGCAATATGCCTATCACTGGGGATATCCAGCTGACATTCTCAGTCCTTCATGACCTCAATCTCATCCACACCGACCTTAAACCTGAAAACATCCTCCTCGTCAGCAACGCTTACCAAACGTTCACCTATAATCGCACCATCCCATCCTCTTCGCATGCCATCTCCCGGAGTGCACGTCAAAGACGTGTGCTGTTGGACAGTGAGATCCGACTGATTGACTTTGGGTCAGCCACCTTTGATGATGAGTATCACTCGTCTGTGGTGTCCACTAGACACTATCGGGCCCCCGAGATCATCTTAAATCTGGGCTGGAGCTTTCCTTGCGACATTTGGAGTATCGGTTGCATCCTCGTGGAGTTCTTCACTGGGGATGCCCTTTTCCAGACGCATGACAACCTGGAGCACCTTGCCATGATGGAGGCTGTTATCGGCGACCGCATCGACACTAGACTAGTGAGGCAGGTGATGCAAGGCGGTCGCAGCGCAGGCCAAAACCAGGCCGCCAAGTAAGTTACATCGTGGTTACACCCGCCGAATCATGCTGACAGTCCCAGGTATTTCAACAGGAACAAGCTTGAATACCCGAATGATCAGACCACTCGTGCCTCACGAAAGTATGTGAGGGCAATGAAGCAGCTTCCGGTACGATCCCCCTCCACTCACGGCCTAGACCCGGATCAGGATTGCTAACCAGCCGCAGGATTTCATCCCGACCAACACCAAGTTCCATAAACTATTCCTCGATCTCCTTCAGCGGATATTCGTGTATGACCCGAAGAACCGCATCACGGCCAAGGAAGCATTGAAGCACCAGTGGTTCAAGGAGTCCTTGGTGGATGACGGCACCGAAGCCCTACGGATTGGGGAGCAGCTGCAACGCACCACTCAGCGGCGTTGATTTGGACAGCCTTCCGCTGGACACTTGTATCGGGTGTGATCTAGCTTCGCGCTAATATTCAGAACGCTGCGGAGCCCTTCTATACCAAGAGGCTGGTACGTCGAGGTAAACCCTTCGACAGCCACCAGGCGTTAGCATGTATGGGTACAGCCACATTTGCGATAGAGGGATGTTATTTTTCTGTTTGGATACTACTTCTCAGGGATGGCCTGGCGATAGTGCTAGCCGATTGACGATAACTGGGTAATGGAACTGACGGAGGGTACATGGATGGGATATCCCGGAGTTGATGCCCGCAGTCGGGCAAGGTGTATGGGGTTTTGCATGCTTCATTGTGAACACAAGAAACCGTTGGTCGGGGCCTGACTACACCAGTCCCCGATGAGGACAAAAAAGCAGTACGACATATATTTGATCATCGGAGGGACATACCATTTTATATTTATGTGTTTTTTATACAGTCCGGGCGGCCTGGACTTGGGGCTTTGTGGGCTTATGGGATTTGTGTTGTGCTTCATCGTTTTTTTTTTATATCGTCTTTTTTCTTCTCGCAGCATCGTTCGATGTGATTTCTCATACTCGGAACTTATTGACGTCTACGGGCGCTGGTGACATGACGATTTATCTCCTGCATAGCTTCGACTATGATTCTTGACCTTTTTGACTTGTTCTTCGACGCGGTAGAGCAGTACCCTCTGGTCTGTCTGTCTGTTTCCCTCGGATGGACCGAGGCGATGATGATGCATAGACGTGTGCATTGTGAACTACCACTCCTACCGATGTATATATATTATACCACTTGATACTACCTTACCTACTTACTTCTATGAGCTCGTTACGACTGATCAACGGACCCGGAGTTCTCTGGCGCTACCATCTACCATCTCATATACCAATACCAATACCAACCTTGATATGATGGACAATTTGAAGACCTTCATCAAAACAGCATCATGTTCACAGCCATCCCTATTGCTTATCACACCAGTACGCACAACAATAGAATAAGACAGGTACGAAAATCCTTATCTCCTCCCAATAACAGAATGGCTACTACAATACTAATCCATCCCTTCCCCACTACTACTCTACTATATCTCCCTCGAAGCCCTTCATCAACTCTAACTACAGTTACACTTTCCAATATCTCAACATTTCACTTCAAAATATCTTCCATCCCCACCACTCGCCAACTTACCTCCAACAAAATCCTCCACAAAATACTCACCCTCATGCATGCACCCAACTGTTCCACTTAACGATTGACCATCAAAACATTCAACCACCACCATTTTACTCGTCCTTCTTACAAGAAAACAACATTCGCCTTCTTCTCTAATATCAAACCCGAAGCAAACACCACGAACTAGACTTCCCAATGACCTTTGCCTCCGTGATTCCATTATACGAATCCCCTGGAAGAAAAGATAGATGGAAGAATGTGGCCGGGTGCAGTGTTGTGGATTATCTTCATTGTACTTCAGTTGTCTATCCAAAACTCTCTCATGGTATCATGGAATGTTGAATGACGAAATTCGACTTCGACGAAATACATGATTGAATCTGAGTTTGAAAATGATACAATCAACTCTAGATTTGCATGGTTGTTAATTAGTACCACTGACTCAGTAGTGTATTTTCGAAGACTAAATGTCGATCAAGGGCGCCGGAGGCGGAGGGCGTTATTATTACCCGAGAGAGAATGTGTGGGCGTTTTTGAAAGACATCATTGCTACTAGCTATTTGGTGATGGAGGAGGGGGTAAATATACGTATACTCAATATAAGAGAGCTATTTCCATAAGTACACATGGTAGTATATACAAATATACAATTAAAGCCTTATGCTTTTCTTATAAGATAAGTAATAAGATATGTTATATGATATCCTATAACTGAACATTACTCTCAACATTTGATTATATATAGATGGGATTAGTAGGGTACTGTAATGATGAGGGTATCACAACTTCAACTATTGTACAACTATTATGTGATGGTATAGAATAGTGTGTTCGGAATATATCCATGACTTAGTCCTTGGTGAAACAATTTATTAACTACTAATTACTTTTATATACTTAATTTAGAAGACCCTTTCGGCTATAATGTACCACAGTAGGCGATAGAAATACTCTAATACTCAGTATGCGAACTTGAAGGGGTTATACCGAGTATATATAGATAATATGTTTCAATCGTGACCGAGAGAGCGATGACGTGAGAGGTAGTATATGCGTTGCACTTTTACTTGAATAGCAATTCCATTTAAAATGCTTTAGCTTCTCTCAAGACCAATGCTCACCACAATAGTATATATGCAACCACACGATCTATCCACAAACGGTCTAACGATCTAAAAAGCATTGCAAAGCACGATGACCCGAAGACAACAGCTATGAACAAACGCCCCCCCCTTTCCCAACCAAGGTAAACTTTTTATCTACATGCCCCGGTTAAACTCCACCTGACCATCCTTACCACCCTTCTCCCAGAACTCCGGCTCCAGAGTCGTGGCGCTAATAGCCTGTCTCTGGGGGAACGCACCCAGGGCCAACGGCAACGCAAACAGGGACGTCGCCAGGACCAATCCCAAGTTCAGGGGCATAATCATCCTTGGACGAGCCTTCAACCAAGCAGTCTTCTCCAACCGCACCAACACCAACGGCGGGACCACCATGATGGGGGTAGCATTCAGCACACGACTGATAGCCGTCTCGCCGACGGCAATAGTAGCCGCCTTCTTACTCTTGCCCAGACTCTGCACTGTCTCGCCGGTCTCCTCGAGCTTCTTCTTCTCCACCTCCGACAGCACCGGGTACACGTCAATACCCTGACGGATCTCCTCGCCGCGCATGAGGAACACGTTCAGAGCGCTGGCGCTGGACACAGCGGCGAACGGCACAAGACGACCCAGGATGAGCTTCGCGTTGGGCGAGATGCCCTTGAGACGGGGCACGAGGGCGTTCAGACCCAGAGCGACGGAGCAGGAGGCCGACACGGCCATGAGGTAGGACTTGGCGATCTGGGGGACGGACAGCGGGGTGGACTTGTTGGCGTTCGCGTTGTTAATGGCAACATTGAGCGATTGGTTGGCGATTTGCCAGAGAAGAGTTCCGGTGGTCTTGGTTTATTGGTCAGGTTTGAAAATCCATTGTCGGGTTTAGAGGCTGGAGCGTGTCGGTGTGTAACTTACCTGCAGTCCCGGCGTAAGCATACCAGCTGTCACGACCAGATTGGACATAACGTAGCAGGACATGCGGAAGGGAAGGAAGACCGGCTCGCCAGTGTCTGTTGGTGTGTATGAGTATATGCTGTGTGGGTTCTTTCCTCTCGAAGGATAGCTCATGGGGTAAGGAGGAACGCACCAGGGTGAAGGGTGGAATCAACCACCTTCTTCGCGCGCCACAGCTCCGGAGTCATATGCGGAAGATGGTTCTGCTTGTAGGAGGAGACCAGCTGCTTAGCCTGCTCCAGGCCGGACGAAGACACGAACATCATCCTGGAAGAATTGGCGTCAGCGAAAGTTCACACACTCATTCACATCGAGCGCATTTCCCACTTACCGCGGGTCGGAGAGGTCAGCCGCATGCCGCACGCGGCCCCAGTAGGTTGTCAGATCATATTGAGACCGAGGGAGGTCCCGGCTGCCGGGGAGGGAGGCGGACATCTGCAAAGACGAACGAAGGAGGGTCGCGAAGACAGGATGGACAGAGACACTTCAGGGAAAGGAGGAGGATCGGAGGAGTCATCGGCGCCACGGCGAAAATCATTGAGGCGGGACCACACACGTGCCTATCGCGGGCGGTGAGCCGATAAGCGTCAGGTCCACCAATCGGAGTGCGTCAATCTCCGATCTCGTCAGGAACGTCTCACCGCCTTGAAAGCGGTACGGTATTTCCGTTACCGAACGCTATATCGAAGTATGTACTGGTAGGAGTCAGGTCTACTCAGATTTACTTGTTGCTAATGTAGTACTTCATGGTAGTGGTTTCATTCGAGGTGGCGAACATATAAGAGTACAGGTATCACAAGTCTCTCGCCACACAATTAATAGAACAAATTAAAAACATCCAACATCCACAGGTGAGCAGTTACCGCTGGGATGTGATACATGACCGCCCGAAGCGGATGGAATGTACGTCGCAAGGAAATGGGGGTATGTCTAAGCTCTGGCACACAGATAAACAAAGGAAACCCGGTGGAAAAAGGAAAACGAAGGCGTAGGCCTGCTCACTGGCGAGACCATCAATGCAAAAAAAAAAAAAAAAGAACCCACCCGGGATGTAGGTCAAGTCGTACAAAAACTCGGTGCGAGAATGGTACACGAAGAAGGGAAGGACGCCAATCGGGCGCCATGGTCATTACATTCATCGAAATCGGTAGGATTTATGAGCTAAAGGCGAGGTGGGGGCATGTCCAGAAGCCCCGACAGGCACTCGGACCCGATGATTCTTTCGAGTGGGTGTCTGGGCGCAGAAGATGCACACATACACGGACGGCAGGTTGGCCCGCTCCAGTCCAACGCACTTGGTGTGCAACCAGTGACTGCATGATTCGCTGCTCATCAATCAGTAGCCATCCATAGACAGTTATTGCTATGGCTTACCATTGGATCATGAGGTGGCCACCATTGTCCATGGAATTGCAGACACACCGGGTCCCATTGCTCGGGTTGCTGAAGCGGTCGGTGACGGGGGTGGCTATGTCGGGGTCGGTCATGGTCGTGGGCGATGTATTCGTGGTTCGTGAGCTGAGGTCAAGCTCCGCACCGAATCGTGGCGGGGACGATCTGAGGTGAGCGAGAGAGCGAGCAGAACGGCTGATCCGCGACCCGTAGCTGACAGTGTGCGGACGAGGGATTCGACCTCTCTCTTGGAGGACCTTTCGGAGTGCATGCTGGGCATCACCACTGTCATCCTCGGGATCAGCAAAAGGCTCGCCTAGGGAACCGGCACTGAGGTATGATAGGTCTGAGTGGAGCGTTGCCAACTGCTTTTTCGGGGTGCGCTTCCAGTCATCCAAAGTAGGCTTGTACTGTGGTCGTTTGGAAGGCGCTCGACCGGCGTCAGCCCACGGGGATGCTCGTCCTGAGGATGACGCTGCCGTAGAGGTATAGGAACCCTTCGAATGGGGCCGTGAACCACAGTCACTACGAGCAATCGTCGCCCCACTGGCGTCGGAAAATGCAAATGAAGGGTTGCGGCTGGGGACAGTTGGGTATTCACAGTAGTCCACCGAGTCATACTCGCTTTCCGTGGTGGAGCCATCCAAGTCCATTCCTGTGATGGGGTCCGTCAAACCGGTTGATGCCTCGGGCACAGGTTGCATTTCCGCCTTAGCTCTACCGTCTTTGCCTATCTTGAGGACTACGGACTGAGAGCGTCTGGGCAGACTAGCAGCCACTGAATTTGCCCTCGACAGCTGATGACGAATGGGCTTGATGGGAGACGAGCGACCCTTGGAGGGACTCTTCCGGATTCCATTGCTGGAAGCCATCATACTCCCAGACCCCGGTCGGCTGGCAGACCCTGCAATAGCACTGTGCGTTAGGCTACGAGTCAAAGTCGGCCTCATCTGACGGGGGGTGTAGTCATCGTCATCATCATCCTCATAGACAGGGATATGGTGGTTGACGCTGCGAGCGCGGCGGAGCTCTTCTCTCTTGGACTCCTCCGTTTGGTGATGGTAGGGCTGGCGAGTCGGTCGGGAGAAGAGCCTCTTCTCAGGAGTCGGCTGCAGTCCACCAAATCGGCGTGCAGGGGAGCTCAGGAACAGTGCTGGATCCTCTGCTTTCGTGATAGGGCGGCGAGGGGAAGTGGAGAAAGGGGCAGGGAAGAGGGCGGCGTCGGTAGTGGTCACCCCCGAAGAGAGGTTATATGTACTACTATTATTGAAATCGGGGAGGTCCATGTTTCCTTCGATTATAGGCAACTGTGGGATGTGAGAATCCGGGGCGGTGGTGTGGTTGACATGGAAGGAGTCATTGGCATGAAGGTCAAACAAGTCAAGATTGTTACTGGCCGACAGGCCCATATTGCTCTCGTGCTGATTGAGATCATGGTCCCAGAATAGCCTTTGCTGTGGGAAGAATGAAGAGGCGCCGGAATCGATTGATCCTAGCTGGAATGGGTCTGAGGATGATTGAAGGTCTCCAAAGAGCCGTGGGGAAGCCCCCAGTAACCGACTGGGAGTTTCTAAATGACCGCCAATCATGCTAGAGGCGGACGGCCGTCGACCTGTACCAGTGGCCTCGTCAAGCCCCGTCACCTTCTTCCTCGAAGCACTGCTGGGAGGAGGGGTCTGAATTGTCGCAGCAGATTTGGCTGAATCTACTGTGCGAGGACCATCCTCTCCCACATGCCCATGTGGCCTGGACGGGCGACGTCTCTTGGCCGTATCAGTGTCCTGCTCCGCCGCTTTGCCATTCCGGGTATTATCCTCAGTATCGGTCGGTCGGTCGGGGGCAGTATCCGGCAGCCGGAGAGGATTGATGGAAGGTGTGCTCAGCCCAAACTTCTGGGGCGTGCGGAGGAATTCCGGACTCGAGGCATAGGGGTCCGAAGTATCCCAGGTAACCCGGGGGTCGAAGAAGCTGGATTCGAGTTTAGGGGTCTGGAAAGCGGAATCGCCAAAGATTGTGGTTGTCGGGGGAGTCCTCGTAGGAGTCTGAGGTTCACCGTTGGGATAGCTGAAGCTGAACGAGAAAGACGGCTCTGTCAGCATCATGTTGCACACTAGCTACCGCTGAAGGGTCGGAGCTCGGTAGGAGCTCCGCAACCCACACGATATACTGCCAGAGGAGACCAATGTGGGTGGAGGGTTTATGTGCATATAGAGATAAATGTCCGAAATTAAGGAGAAGACAGTGAAAAAGTGCAGCAACAAAAGAGCCAGGAAACAGTATGAGGGAGAGATTGTAGCTAGTAAGGAGTGTGGTGATAGAGAGGCAGCCCCGCGTGTGCCGGTAATACAAGATGAGTAGGAAATTCAACCGACATACCTGTGAACCGGTTGATCCCAACTCATGTCAGCAACGTTGTGATCCCAGCAACCATACAATGCACAAGCTGCCAGGCAACCCTCTTGTAGGAAGTCCAGATATTTCGGGGGCCGTCAGGAATGTTGGAGGAGAGGGGTTGGTTCGGTAGGGATCGCTGTGCCGACGAATGTGAGCCTCCTCCACAGGGTCATTGAAGCCAAGCTAGTTCGGACTGGAGTTGTAGGTTCGGACACAAGAGTGTTTGACCCTTCGAAGGAAAGGTTGGGGTTGGACGAAGGGAGGACGACGCTAGTACATAGTCCTATCGCCGGTCTGAAGGACGGGAGGTCACCGGGGCTGGTAATCCGGAGAAGGGGACAAAGAAAAAGGTAGAGAGGGAGGAAAGAGGAGGAGTCGAGAGGGGAGGGAGATAGAGAGGATGGACTCAGACCAGGCAGGCTGGGGGTCGAGGGATTGAAGGTTAGGTTAGGTTGGTTAGTATGGAAGGTTCCAAGAACGACAGAGCTCTCCTGAACAAAGGGAGGAGCGGAATGCGTTTAGATTAGGACGCTGTGTCTTTGATGCTTCCCTCTTTCGTTTTGGCCGAACCTTGCCCTTCAAACAGGAGTGAACAGGCAAAAGTGAAAAAGAAAAGGGAGACTAGGAGAAGAATCAACCGGCTCGTTGTGAAGGAGGAAGGGAAAAAAAGAGACAGAGGAGGAGAAGAAAGTAAGAAGCGAAGCCGAATGGGAAATTTTGTGTTTTCGTTTTCCTCTGTTTGTAATTTGGTAATAAGTTGACAGTTTTTTTGCCCTCTTTTTTTCCTTTTTACTTACATCCGCAGATCCACCAGCTGGGGACTTTTTTTTTTTTTTTATGAACTGCTACGTTCCCTGGGAGGGTCAAGGTCCGGTTTTGCTGCAACCAGGACTTGGTACCTTCAATTGCTGGTGACAAATGAGGCTGCTCCAAATTATCGTCTTTGATCCTGCCATCTTTATTCCCCCGCCATTATTATAGTGTTTGTTATAGTATTCTAGTATTCATCTAGTCCTTGGTCATCGAGTTCCCTCTCGAATCACCATCTAACTAATTAACCAACCAACTAACTCTGCCTTTCCTCCCGATCGTCCTCCACTTTTGGCTGGTGGAGCTACGGGCCTTGGGTGAGATGAACTGGGACCGCTGCACACGACCGACACCTTGACCTTCCCGCTGCGAAGGGGGAGCCTTCATGACGCACCGGATGGGTACAAAAAGTGAATGGATTGTAACATAGAATAATAACCTTTTCTATTTTCTTACTTCCTCTTATGAAACAGAGCATGAGGTGATTACTACTAATCATCATGCTTTGGTGGTTCTATCAAATTCCAATGGTTCTGGTTCCGAGAATAGTGAACTATCACACTACTCTTTAGTAGTTTACTGTGTACCTCGGATGGGATAGTCAGCTAGTAGTGACTTAATTAAGTCTTAGGGAAGGTATACTCCGCTTGTGATTGTACTGTATAAGATAGTAGTAAAGAATGATAGACAGTGATCCACCCATCAAACTATGTTATACTGTACTGTACCTATTATCTTACCGTCAATGCCGGAGAAACGTATACGAGGTCACCGGCATCATCTCGAAATAGTCGACAAATGGAGACGACGGGAAGAGACTGGTCCTTTCAGCGCGAGATTACTAGTATACCACCGAACGTATCCATAATAATCCATGACTAGTGAACCGCGCTCCAAGGCACCAGCGGGCGGTCCCAAGAACAAGGAACAGCGGTCCATTTCCGTGGGTCATCTATCACCGTCTCCAGCGTGATCGGTTGGTCAAGTTACTTACTGGTGCTGACGCCGGGCTCTGGACCTGCATCCGTCTTCGATTGTTTCCCTCCCCCGTATCTTATGGCTTGTTCATTATTCCTCGGGTGGCCATCGAATAGACTTCCCACTTGGCTGGAGAGGGTGACCGATATGTCAACAGTCACAGGTGATAGATATCGAGGGCTTTGGTTTCACTTTGATCCCAGAATTGTGGCCGCACGTCTCGACCGCTCTCTAAACCACCGATGTATGTAGATCGAATCATACCGGTCAACACTTACTCCATATTTTGCTCCATACTGTACTTACTGGAGTAGGAATCAACCCGGACAAGGTTTTGAATGTGAGCAGGTCAACCTCCCTTCCCTTACGAAAGCGTCGATCGAGGCCGGATTGGGCGACGGGAGATTGAGCCTTGCGACCACCGCCAACACTAACGACCCTCGGACGCCCTGGGGTTTCTGGTCCTTCATCCTCCCACCACCCCCCGACTCCGGTCACGACCACCACTAAAACTAACCACTAATAGTCAATCCACTGGGGCCCTCTTTTCAGCTCCAGCCTCGATCTCATCCCACGTCTCGCAAGATTGTGTTAATACTGTGTATGTGTGTGCCCGGAATATTAATAGCTCCCCGTAATTACGATCTCCTGGGCCTGGGACCGACCCCAATGACGACATTTGAACCCATTTCCAATTTCCTTCCTCAATTCAGCTCCGTGTCTTCTCCGGCATAATCCCTGGTCTCGCTCCCTTTCCTAACTTAGCTGTCTGGAAGCTAGTATGTCGACGCTATTTACACCCGCTGCAGCTATCCACGCTTCAAACTTCGGGACAGGCGAGGTGACAGAAAACGTAGCCAAATACCAAATGGCTCGTCTCCAGAAACCGTTGAATTTAAGACTCGACTGATTCCAAGTCTTTTCCCTCCCAGTTCCCACACATAACGAGTCAGACTTGTCTAATTTAGTCCATTTCTTGGGGAGCAGATGTTTCAGCCCGCGAGGGAAGTATCTTCTTTCATGGATACTAGTACCAGTAAGAGTAAGTGGTAGCTAGAATGGATACTGGGCAGGGCAAAAAGGTAGGGTGAGCTTCCGTCCCCGAAAGTAATATTACCCGATTAAGGAGATTCACCGCGACCCGCCCGGTGGTTCATTCATTGGGCCACGAAAAGAGGGGACGTGAGGCGACCCAACGCGAGTCTAGACTAAGTACTAGGTAATGACTACTATCTGCAATTCTACTATCTATCGGTTCTCCTGGACGGAGGATTCTAATGCCTGCCGTAACTCGTTTAGCAACAAGAAAAAGAGATCAATGCTTTAGTCTCTGGCGAACATCATTGGTCAAGCATTATTGGAAAGGGGAGAGCCTATGGTAGGGGCGGAATTCTCCCCGATCGGTTAAACTAAAAGTACTACACTCCAGTCTTCAATGGGTAATGCCGTCCACTACTTCCGAACCCAGATTGAGTTGATTCGCAGTTACATACTTACTCCGTCCCGAACTAACCCTACTATTATTCAATATTATTATGATCTTTTTTCTATGTTCTGGGGGCATTGATCTGCTCTGCCGATGCTAATCCAGCCGACTGAGATGGAAGCCGTTTCCGATAGGCCCCAAGCATCCACCAACGATGACTTGCTGTCTGGAGTCCCTCCCCCCTTTACAAGTCAGCAAACAACCATTCTCAGGCCATCGGGGCTGGACCAGTAAGAGCTGCTGCACGCGAGCGACGGGACCTGCAGCAGTAGTTAGACGCCCTGCGGTGTAACCCGCAGTAGTCTCTCCTCCCTCCCTCCATTGAGCATCTGTGATTTCAGTTTTCGAGGAAGCCCCTGACATGATGGTTGATGCAGCACCGGCTTAGTGTCCTGCCAGCCTGTCCATCTCGCAGCTCGTCAGGCACACCTTGGCTGGATTAAGGTTGGAGACATCAGTAAGGAGCAGCACTGCCCAGGGTGATGTTTGGCTCACCCTTCCTCTAATTACAAAAAGGTTTTGCTTTGCTTTCACCCTGTGCAATAGAGTCCTGGATAAACAGCCGGAGTTCTTATCTTTTGTGCAGCTAAAGTGAGATTTGGGTGCACATGGCCCTGAGGACTGCATATCTGAGCTGCACCATAGATCTATCTATAGCAATTTCTTGCTCTTCACGATGTGTAAGATCCGGGCCGTGGGCGGATGACCTGACTGGAATGCGGGCGGAGCATAATCATCGATCAATATCTGCGGATCAGATGCACATAATGTGCAGCTTCATACACCGACTGCGAAAGTGGCAAATATTGTGCGGATATTGCCGTTTACATGTAGGATTGTTACCATGGGGATACGGGCCTGGAGCGGGTGCTTTGCAGAGTCAGTGCGATCGATCCTACAGGAGATTCGTAAAGTAGTATGCAGCGAATGCATAAAGCAGAAGGGCTGATGATAGTTCATACAAGTGTTGCCAGTATAGACCGATAGTGACGACTGGCAACTTCATCGTGCGGAGTACTCCGTCACCGAGGTTCTTATCAAAGAACATTTGTGCTTTCTGTAGCCGATGCTGAGTGGCATACTGTAGATACTCTGTTTCGCCTCCATAAAAGAGCCTTTCACAGGATAAGAAGACGGCCATTCCCATAGATGTTGTGAGATGAAGGCATTATATAACTGATTAAGTTATTATTGTATACCTTATATAGAGTATACTTGTCCAAGACCAGGAGACCCCGAAATGATGCAGGCGACTACTCGAGGATCTACTCATACTTGATACCTGAAACTGCAGGCTGTGAATGCCGCGCCACACACCAGCCACAACCCCGCCAAGATCCACCGCCCGCCGAGAAGAGGAAAGTGAGTGGATTCATCCATCCAATCCATCCATTGTGCTGTGTCAAATCACTCTTTGACCATTGGGCATCAGTATCCAGCCTTTCTTTCAGCCATAACCACAATCATTTACAACCATTTGCTACAAGGCATAACCAACTCAGCCCGCATGGGTTGTTATACATAAAGAGAAGGACAGCTGGGCCGTCGTTCTTTGACTATGAATGAACGTTCCTTTCACTATCCCGACCCATAAGAATTACCATCTGCAAGCACCTATTCAGTTTCCTCTCCTACACGCCTCGCCGTTTTTCCATACAAGCAGAGCAGCAGTAGCCTTAGTGCAGCGTCAGATTCCAAGTATACAATAAGAATCAGATTTGGATCGTGTCTTGCCTAGTCTTTACTCAGACTCTTATCTGAATGGCCTTTCCCTCTCAAAAAGATCGGAGATAATGTCGCCCACGCCAAAGAAAGCCTCCCGCTCAGGGGCCGCCAGAAGGCGGCGTGGGAAACGGAAGATCACCCCGAGATCGCCCCTGTCTATCCTGGCCCAGACTCGAAAAAACAGCGCCGTGAAGAAACGTGATCGCGGCGACGTGGTCAGCAGCAGCAAGACAAAACTTACGGAGCGCAGGAGTAAACCAGGGAGACCATTCAGACTGAATCTCCTTCCACTGTCGACCGAGCCAAGAGAAAAGGTGAGTGATGACAAAAACTGAGAGACCTGCTTCGGGCTTCCCTTCTGCCCTTGATAGTTATTAGTAGTGTTCCCGGTGTTGTAGCAGGGATCCCGATCACCCAGCCTTGATCCTTGCATTGCCTGCATATCCTAGCGCCAACTCGGGGTACCAATTACTGAATACATACTGACACCCGAGCCGTGGACAGAACTGTTTTAGACGGGATCCGTCCCCTGCAAACTACCGATTTGTCCCCAAGGGCGACATCTACATTACTCGCAATTGCCGAAAACTGACAAAGGAGTCTGGCCGAATTGTCTACGTGGTTTATGTGAGGATACAAACCCAAATCATTCTACTACTAGCAGCTTCTTTGTACCCATTTTCTAACCCTTTCACAGGATGATAGAGGCAAGAGCACTCTTGGCCTACGTGTTCCGGCCGATGTTCACACCGCCGTCCTCCAATTAGCGGACGAAACAGCTCAGTCTCGCGCTCAAGCTGTTCAAGTACGTGATGAGAAAGATTATGCGCAGGCCCGTCAGCTCTTACGCGCCCAGTTTCCTTTAATGCCTGAGGAGTCACTGGACGCTATTCTCGAACATGCCTTTCTGAAGGGCTCTGGCCGCGTGGGCCGGACATCCAGATTATCAGATGAAGACAAAGCCAAGTTAGCCGTAGAGGCTCATATCAGACACACCCATACCAGCTATGAAGCACTCCTGAAGGCGGGGAAGACGCGCGGTGAAGCTCGTCAAGCGTCAAAGGAGATGGTCCGGGCTATCAGGACCGCATGGGCAGGTGGCGATGTAGAGCCAACGGATTGCCTGACTATGCGGGATCGAGTGATTGTGATTGATTGATTTCTGTGTGGTGAATAATTTGGTTCCAAACCAACGACATTCAAACGAAAGCGATGCCCTATTAATGTTCATTTCTGGTATGTTGGAGACAGTACACAGATTGCATCAGGGTTAACATTACATATGTGCGAGGCCGCAACACCTCCACGGCTACGGCGTTCTATTTTGGCTTATTTGGCATTGATGCACAGCGTGATGACCACAAGCATTCATGATTAGATTAAGCATAGAGATTAGACACTCGATATAATATTGGATCATGCTATTCAAACATGAAGAGAGAGAGAGAGAGAGAGAGAGAGAGAGAAAGGAAGTCAAAAGAACAACAAACATCCTCCACAACTACCTTTTAACCCCTCTAAATCCACCTTCCAACACACCCCACCCCATTTAGCCCTACTCTCTTTACCTCTCCGCTCTCCCATCTCCCCAAAACTACCCCTAACCCGAACCCTCACCACTTCCCCCCTCCTCCCAAACCCTCAACCCCCTCGACCTCCACCCAACAATCGGCTCCCCGGGCTCATAAAAGAAAATCTCCAACCTCCCCCCATCCCCACCCCTCCTATAAGGAAAAAACCCCACCTCCCTAACACCCCCCTCCAACTCCAATACCACCTTATCAAGATCCGCCAACAAATTCCCAAAAATCTCCTGCGCCGTATCCCCCCTCGCCGCAACCTTACACAGCACATGATACTTAGTCCGATTAATCGCCTTATTAGCGAAACTCCCCGTCCGGAGAGCGTGTGCTAGATGCTGCTTGGCTGATCGCAATATGGCGAAGATGCAGTGCGGATGGTGTCTGTTGATTGGGGTGTGGGCGAGAGTATCGCATTCGGGCATGTTGGTGAGGAGAGTATCGAGTGAGAACCCGATGGTTATGAGGATGAGGTTGTCCAGCGGTGTGTAGAAGAGTTTCTTGTAGTATTCGAAGGTTATTCCGGATTCTTTGAGGCGGAGGCGCCGGGTGAGGATGGGGTCATTGTGGGTGGTTTGGGGAAATGGGGGAGGGAGAGAAGTGGATGGGTAGAAGGGGTAGAGGTGATGGTCGAGGGTTGGCCAGTGGCTCATGTCGAGGTGGGGATGGAGGTCGTGAAGGAGGGTGGGGTAGAGGAGGGTGTCCATGTTTCATTATTTTTATTCCTGGGCCTGCTGAGCAGGGGGGTGAAGGACCCTGAGGTGGGGTGTTTGGTGGTGGTAGAATGCGTTTTATAGGGGATTTTATGGGTTGGGGAGTAGGTTAGGGCTTATGGTGGGAATGGGAATTGGAGATGGGTTTCTGTAGTTGTTGCGGGAGTCTCCAGTGTAGGGCTCTCACTGGGAAGCCTGGATCGCATGTAGGAGCCTACACATGAGCCTGATGTGCCTAATAGATGCTATACTGGGCTGGTAGGCCAATCATGGATCCTGCTGTGGTCTTCTGTACGTAAAACCATCCATCTGGTCGAGCTTGGTCGGGATTTGCCGTAGATGGTGACTTGATAATACACCTGCTGCCAACAGTGAATGGGCCTAGAACATCTTTTCCTTGATTTGGGGGTAGAGCTGTAATGCTAAGGCTCCATGTCATGGTGGCCATATTGAGGTTCTAGGCAGCATGCACTAACACCTCCATTGTCCTTTTGTTTCTGAACGAACCCCAGGAGTATCGGTTCGAGGTCTGACAATACTCGCGTGACAAAAGATGTAGGTAGTCTGTGGTATGTAGTAGCAGAGTCTTATTCCAGTGTGCATGTGTCCACCCATATAGCTGAGTGACGCACTCCGTCCTTTTCTTGATATACTGCGTATACTCAAAGGAGCTATGCTTATCATGTTGTATCATCATACATAGAGGCATAAGAGCCGGATCTTCACAACCCACATCCTTGCAGGTTAAACCGCAGAGCAGATGTGCATACCAGCCCTACGGAGAAAATCTCCAAAACCTGCGAGAACCCTTTACGTACTTGACATAGAGAACTCTTGAGGAGATGCCTGAATGGAACCATGCCGCCGAATACCCTGACATATCTCCTCAGTTCACTGCTCATGCTCCGTATCTCTAATCATCTACTGTAATTGAGTCAAAATCACAGGATTCACCCACTATATCTGTTTTAAAAACAGACCAGGCCCCCTCTGGTCAGAATCTCTTCAGAGTATACAAAAATATCCCCACTATAGCACCCAGATGCCTAAAAAAAATCGAAAGCCCCTGGTGGGGATCACCCACAGCCTTAAGATCTCAGAGTAGCTTCATAGACAGTTAGTAGGGAGTTCTGGTTTAAGGCGTGGTCGGGGGTACTTGCAAGTCTTACGCGCTACCGATTGCGCCACAAGGGCCACTTGTGTAGATCTGCGGCAGAATTAAAAGAATCATAAATATGCTCATATATACTGTTGATGAGGTATCCTCCAAAGCACACCTTTGGGCATCTGCATAGCTGCATGTCTTGTCGATATGGATGTACTGTGGGAGACCTATCACATCCCGATATCTGGATATATGACCAAAATATGGGTGATGCAAGGCTAATCTCATGGCAGATCTGGGAACCGAAAGGTTCTGTTTGCATACTTCCAATCAGTGCGAGAGAAAAAGACAGAGGCTGGAGTAATTAGTACAATATATACGTACATAGCTAAATATGAGGATAGATCAAGCAAAGGAGAACTCCGTAAAATTCATGCATATCATCTTGGTAAATTTGCTACAATTGTTGAAGTATATTGAATGAAGGTATGTCAGTAGTATAGTTCAGATCATGTAAACAGACTTCCTCATTCGACCACACTAGGGCTAGCCCCACTCTCGCCCAATGGAGCAGCAAAAACGTGACGGTAACTTTTCCAGACTGGAGCCGCTCATGACTTTAGGTGCTGCAACTACTACAGTTTAACATCACTGCCACCGTTACTATGGAAGGTGCCGATATTGTTGAGTCGCCGCGCAAGCGGCTCAAGACTGATAACACTCCTATCACCGAGGATGTTGCGCTTCCTTCCTCCAACGAGGCAATTGCGCCATCGGACGCCGCCAAACTCTCCGCGGAGGAGGCGAGAGAACTCGAGGTTGGAATCACCGAGTTTGTCAGTGGCGATAATGAAGGATTTTATGGCATCCTGAAGAAGAGGTAAAAACGGCCCAAACTCTGTTGCCATACAGGCGCTTACCGACATCTTCTACTAGATATACCGACTTCCTTGTCAACGAGATCGTACCGTCCGGCGAAGTCCTGCATCTACACAATATCCCCACCCCGGAAGCAGAACAGGAGAAGGCTAAGCCCGCGGAAACTCTCACGCCCAAACCCGCAGAGAATGACCAGCAGGAGAAGCCAGAAGGATCTGCAGAGAAGGATGCTGCGCCAAGCGCAGAGAATACGCCGGAATTCCAGATCCCCGAGGAAGACATGGCCCACCTTGAATCCCTGTTCGGCGAAGAGTCCACCAAGAAGATTGTATCGCTGAACAAGCGTGCCGTCCTCAATCCCAAATCGAAACCGAGCGACCTGCCCAAGATTCCCACTCTTGTTGTCGATGACCGCGACCTGCGCATTAAGATGCATCAGGCCATCCGTCGCATCTTCAAATCGCAACTCGAGTCTCAAACCGATGGCGAAGGCATGATGGTTATTTCTGCTGCGCCAAACCGGAACAACCGCAGTGCGCAGGGTGGACGCAACAATGCACGTCCCCGCGTGCCGGTCAATTGGGATGAGCTGGGCGGTCCCTATCTGCACTTCACTCTGTACAAGGAGAACAAGGATACCATGGAAGTCCTCTCGTTCATCTCGCGGCAGCTGAAGATTAACACGAAGAACTTCCAGTTCGCCGGAACCAAGGACCGCCGTGGTGTTACTGTTCAGAGAGCCTGTGCGCACCGTTTACATGCTGAGCGCCTCGCAAAGATCAACCCTACGCTCCGCAATGCTGCTCTTGGCGATTTCGAACATTGCAAACATGGCCTTGATCTGGGAGATCTGAATGGTAACGAATTCGTCATCAGTCTCCGTGAGTGCGATATTCCGGGTGTTGACTTCAGCGACCGCGAGGCTGCCATTGCCAAGGCAAAGGACGTCGTGGGCACCGCACTACGGAATCTCCGCGAGCGTGGCTACTTCAACTACTTTGGTCTGCAACGTTTCGGTACTTTCGCTACACGCACAGACACAGTCGGCGTCAAGATGCTCCAGGGCGACTTCAAGGGCGCCTGCGATGCTATCCTCCAGTACAGCCCTCATGCTCTGGCTGCCGCTCAGGAGGGCGAGAACTCGACTGCCATGGTCAGCTCCGACGACAAGGCCCGCGCAGAGGCAATCCACATTTTCGAAACTACCGGAAACGCCAACAAGGCTCTTGAGAAGCTTCCTCGTAAATTCGCTGCGGAATCCACCGTCATGCGTCAACTCAGCCGTGCCCAGAACGATTACCTTGGTGCTCTCCAAGCCATCCCTCGTAATCTGCGATTGATGTATGTCCACGCCTACCAGTCCTTGGTGTGGAACTTTGCCGCCGGTGAGCGCTGGCGCTTGTACGGCGACAAGGTTGTCGAGGGTGATCTCGTATTGGTGCATGAGCACAGCGACAAGGACGACGCCGGAGCAGCTGCCGCTGCGGGCGAGGTTGACGCCGATGGCGAAGTCATCATCACCCCGCAGGCGGGAGACAGCGCCTACGTCTCTGAGGGAATCACCCGTGCGCGTGCCTTGACGGCCGAGGAGGCAGCCAGCGGCAAGTACAGCATCTTCGATGTCGTTTTGACCCAGCCCGGCTACGATGTCCTCTACCCGTCCAACAAGATGACGGACTTCTACAAACAGTTCATGGGCAGTGCCCAGGGTGGCGGTCTCGACCCCTTCGACATGCGTCGCAAGTGGAGGGAGGTCAGTCTCACCGGTAGCTACCGCAAGCTGCTCAACCGTCCCGGACCCGACTTCTCCTTCGATGTGCACGTGTATAGCCAGGATGATGAGCAGTTCGTTCAGACCGACTTGGAGAAGCTCCAAGGCAAGAAGACTGAGACTGAAACCCCTGGTGAAGCGACACCGTCCTCCAATGCGCAGGAGAAGCTTGCCATTGTGCTCAAGTTCCAGCTTGGTTCGAGCCAGTATGCCACCATGGCTCTGAGGGAGCTGTCCAAGGGCAAGGTCAAGGCCTACCAGCCCGATTTTGGCAAGGGTCGATAGACGATGGATGTATATATAGTATAAGCTAGTTTTGTACATACTGTGGGTATAGATTGACTTGCAACATAAATGAATGCTACGTGATAGTAAGGTCCATTTAGTCAATGTCTGTTGCAGCAGATTCAAGTAATATATTTCGTTAGGCAGAGATCCAGTCTGTATGCCGAATGGTTATCCCCATACCTAGAGTAAGTTTCTAACAGACAGCAGATGCGAATAATAAGAGTATTAAAGAGAGTATGATGCTTTTACTCTCAACCAACGTAACTAGCATTGGGGGAGAGTGGACAGTGCCCACTCCTCGGGCTGATGTGAGATGAGATGAGGGCTAGACTTGGAGATAGCATCATCAAATGGCATATCTATCTCTGTTTTACTAGGAACAGTTTCCACCAAAGATTTTGCAAAATATGCCTCTTTCAGAAAATGGGACGATCAATCTGACGAACAATATAGCAATGTATCAATGAGCGAGTCCAGCGTCCGCAATACAGTCATTTCACGGTGTTTAGCTGTGCCAAGCGGCTTTAAGTTGGAATCCCCGGTCACATTCATCTAGTCCTAGTCGATTATGCTAGTCAGACTAAGCAGGATCGGTCATCCACCCCATTATGGCAAGTTCCGTCTTATAGACCGTTGTGTTCTCAACAAATGAACATAGAATACTTATCCGCTACTGCCAGCGTCTGAATCGGCTGTGCATATGGAGTCCTCCATCACGGAGCGGTCGTCCAGCAAGGATTACTGCCGAGTCTGAACCTAATGCGCGGAAGAAGCGTCGCAAACGAGCGTCTAAGAGTGTAGAGATGACACCAGAAGGGAATGGTCGTTCGGACTGTGCGCGAGAGCTTGTTTACCCCAATCCCGGCAGCACTGTCGCTCACCCTCCTCCTCCTCCTCCTCCTCTTCCTCCTCCTCCTCCTGCTGCTGCTGCTGCTGCTGCTGCTACTGTCGGGATAGCAGAGGTACCACCGCCATCAGGACCGCCATCCATTGCCGAATGGAACATGTTCGATATCTTCAGCTTCCCAATCCCGCATGATAACTTGCAGGAGAATGTCATTCCACCATTGTCTACTCCACATAGTGTTATTCCTCCGATGCCCAGTTTAACTGACTTTCTTCAACTGCCTGCCCATGGATTAGCAGGCCTGAGCACTCAACCCGGAGTCCTCGAAGATAAGAAGCGCACCCTCCGGACTACTAGACTCACTGCGCGACATCAACCAAGAGCTCTCCGACGTCAACTCCTATTATTATCAGGTTATCGCGTTTTGTACACGCATAAACCCTAATTATAATAGACGAGCACGGTAGTAACCTAGTTGACCAGTATAATCAGAAGTATTCCTAGGGCTAAAGCCATACAGCTAAGCTAGCTTAATAGTATATCTGTAGTAGTATCCACAGCTGGTACAACCGCCAATGTATTTATCTATAAAGATTTCCAGATCACTTGGTGCGAGTACTCTTCAGATACAGAACAGCAGAATCATACATACGTCTAGACTGCTTTGGTAAGTCCGTCTTTTATTTAGTTACACAAGTATAAAAAAGTCTTGACTGTAGTAGCTGGAGAAAGAGTTTTACCAAGCTTCTATTGAGCGTCGTCTTCAAATATGGGGCGAATTGTTCATGCGCGTGATTAATACCTTCTTAGCCCGCCCAGCCTGAAAGAGAGATACGCCCCTTACAGATGAATATTCACAAGATAAAGAGGACATCCTTTTTCCAACAGGCAGCGATGTATATAAGCGCCCGACTAGTGATCCAAAGTCGATGTAACCACGCACGAAGGTCCGAGCACCGTACATCGAATCAGCCCCCTCATACAACCGCCCATCTTAAGATAAATCCAACCATAGTTCACTTTTGCTTCACTGCCACACCAAGAAACCACACCATAGCCTTATACTCATATTTCATCATTTCCAGCATGGCCAATCAGCAGCAAATCGAACTCCTCCAAGCCGAAGTCGACGAGACCGACCAAAGCTTCTTCCGCCTCTTAGTGAACGGCCAATCCATCAAATACATCACCATCGAACCCGGAATCTACAGCACAGAGGATATGTGTTTCGGTCCGTCTCTAGTCTCTATTTTACCCGATTTCCCCTCTGGAGATTGGAACGACGGCTTAGTTTCCAAAGACGCAAAGGATAATCAACCGCGCTTTACATCTATTAAATTAACCCAGTTCCCGGGGGTCCAGAACATCTGGCATGAGACTCATATCAATTACTTGGATCTTTCGGTGGAGAGGAAACTACGGACGGGGATTTATAAAGTCAAATGTTCACAGTATGATAATGTTGTTGTCGTCGCCAAGTTCGCGCGGTTCCCCTGGGAGATCCAGTACATTGGGAATGAAACTGCGGCGTATCAGTGGATATCGGGTCATGGTATTGGGCCTGGGTTCCTTGGTCACGTTACGGAGAGTGGACGCGTGATTGGGTTTCTGATTGAATATATAAGAGATGCACGGCATGCTGGGATTCAGGATGTTGAGAGTTGCAGGGAGGTATTGGGGCGGCTGCATGATCTGGGGGTTTGCCATGGGGATACGAATCCGTTTAACTTTCTTATCTGTGATGGGAAAGCCACGTTGATTGACTTTGATACCGCTCGGAAATGTGATGATCGGGGTGTGCTTGTTCAGGAGATGGATGGTTTAGCTGCGTGCTTGGACGATCGATCTGGTAGAGGGGGTGGTGGCCTTCTCTGAACACTATTGGGTGGAACCAAATGAATACCATTTCGTAGAGCCTGGCAATCGGTAGTTGGCAGGGTTCTACTCTGTCACCCGATAGTGTCAGGACAGTTATAGTAATAATAGACGGTATACAGTGTGACATGGCTATGCAACGATATATATACTAATGATACATGACCCATCAATGAGCCAAGCGGACTGCTAACACATCAGTCAAGACCTCCGCTCAACGGGGCTTGGTGTTCAAAGGAAGAGGCGGCGGCGTCGGGGCTGACCCGGCGACAGGCGTTGAACGCATCCCCGCCTTCTTTGGAGGAGGTGGTGGCGGCGGAGCCTTTCTTTTACTCAATGCATCCGTGTCAACACTGGATGTCGAACTATTTGCATTCGGGTGAGGTGGCACCGGAGGTGCTTGAGTGCTGGGAGTCTTCTGATCGTCAAAAAACTTGTTGACTCGCTGGGAAATCCCGTACTTCTCGTTCAGCCCATTCAGCTTCTGTTTTCCCGCTTGGATCTTGTCGTTATGTCGCTCCCGAAATTCACTGACTGTAGAGGAGCCACTCCTGGGCTCCGGGCTAGATATAGACTGGGCCGTGCTGCCATTGGTATAAGTTCGTGCTGGCGGCGGGGGAGGAGCAGGAGAGCTTGAGGAGGTGGTCCTCAATTGCGAGAAACGGGATTGCAATTCGTTCACCGGTGCTTGACCGACGGAGCCTGCAATTGCTGGGGACGCAGTACCGGGAGAACTGCTATCTCTTCCCCATTGACCGGCATTATTTCCTATTCCAAGTGCAGGTACTGACACACCAGCTTGGGAAAGGCGGGAAGCAGCGCCTTGGTTTATGTATTCTTCGGCATGCGAAGGCGTCTGAGAATGGGGAGAGTAAGCTGGGGGTGGGGTAGGCGGGTGCGGGGATGGAGTCGAATTGTTGCGAGAAGGAAGTCGCGGCGGAAGATTGGGTTTGGGTCTGGAACTGGGGGGTGGTATGGAATCTGCTGGAGAACCCATGCGTCTGACTGGGGGCGGCGGAAGGTTAGAGGTGTCCAGACCCGTCCGGTTCGCACGATATGGCAGCGGTGGGGGTGCTGGTTTCTGAGCAGCCTCCTCCTGCATTTGCATTTGTTGCTGCTGCTCTTGCATTTGAGCATTTTGACGATCTATCTGTTCTTGTGGCAAGGGGGCACCTAATCCTCTCCGATCCGGCGTTGTCTCATTCGGCAGAGCGGCAGCGCCATGATATTTGATATGCTTCGGCGGTGGTCCAAAAGATGCTGGGTCCTTGAGCGAAGAAAGAGGTGCCGAAACATGCTCTTCACGATCGTTGGTGTTGTCCTTCCCCTTTCCCATCCATCCTGCCTAGAATGAGGTAATTTCACATCAGCTAGTGGCCTAGTTGGAGCCCCGGGGGGGGGGGGGAAAGACACTAACCACTTGATTTATGCCTTTGAAGTCATTCCTCCAACTTTCCTTCTTCCCATCTTTACCCTTAGGGTGCCAGCCCTCTTTCATTACCCCCTTGAGTCCACTCATGATCTGTAACAGCGGCGTTGAACCAGCAAATAAGTTGTTTCAGTGGAGTACTTAGGTAGTTGCAATGACGCCGATCCGACCGGGACCGGAGAGATAAGAAGAGCGAGGCAGTGCCGTGACACTAGTCCCTTTTTAGCGGGCGGTCCGCACTCCAGGATCCAGCCATCTCCAATTTCTGGGGTCATGTGATGTTCATTCGCTGGATTTACGAACTGCTTCAAGTCATGCATTGCTCCTGCTTACTCTTCTTACATACTTCAACTGCATAATTCAGTTATTATCGTCCCAAAAACACACCGGCTGGTCATCCGGGGTATGCGATGATCTCATATCATCCCCGGGGTCTCCTTAGGCCGCAGTATAACTGGCTGTCTGCGACGGTCAAGGATCCTTTGGCCCCCATGTCGGGGCCACGCAACGCTGCTATGTCTCCGGTCTCTTAACGCGACGAACTAATGCGTCGATCAGACTAACGGGCCGATGATTGGAGCTAAGTCACTCCGTCTCAGGGCTACCAAATTCGCGGCCCTATGAGCACCATCCCACCTCGCAGCCAAAGAAAATTATTGTTTGGATGCCTTCTAGGCGCCTTGTCTTTGTTATCTCATAGGGCAGATCTATAAACGGTCCCGGTCCACGACAGCGCTAGATGGAACCCCCCTCCCAGACTAAACAACTTGTCAATGTCGGCGCCTATCGTAATTAGTTACTCCGTACTAACTGAGCCTCGGGGAGGAGAGGCTTGTCCGTTGTTTCGTCTCTGTTGACTAACGGATGCGAGATGCATGCGTGTCGTCCTGGATGGTGGGCAGCGCTTCGTGCTGTGCCGCCAACTTCACTGCTGATTGGCAGTGAGCGACCCTCCGTCCGAATCTATACTTGGTACCCTCAGTAGTCCTTCACTAGGAGCTGCTGCGCCATGTCAGCCTTCCTTTGTGTTAGCTTGGGCAATTTTCTTTCCCCATCTTTATTTCCCGGGCAGGATCCGTGCTTTTCTTTTATTTCTCTCCGTATATTCTCATTTCTCACATACGCATAGGCGCGTATAGGCTCTTTGTTTGCTCTGTGACTGGCATGTCTGGGTGTTCCCGACGTACATTAGTATAGGAATCTTTCTCAACAGAAGCCTGCAGAATCAGCCTGAGGGCTCCCATGTGGTAGGTCCATGCTCATACGTGAATCTCAGGTGTTCCATTGTTTAATCATGGCTTCAGTCGAGTCCGGCATATCCCACCTTGTTCAATGAAAGATCGCCCTTGTGTAGGGCCACTACATTCCTTAAGATTTATCACCACTGCCCACCTTCCTTTGTATCCCGGCACGACGCACATATAAAGCCCCCATTGTTCTGCACCACCACGTAGGCGGGATAAAACCAGTCGAGAACAAAATTTGAGCATTGGCAAAATGGCCGGCATAGGCGGAGGCTCTAACTACAACCCTGGCGGGGAGTCAGAATTCACCACGCAGGACCCATGGGGATCGGAGCACACTACGACAGCAAAGTATTATCCTGGAGAAACCACCAGGACCACCACCCAGCAATGGACTCCGATCACCACTAGTGAGTCAAGCTCACAACTCACCACTACCACCGCAACTGCAACCCATTCATCCTCAACCTCCTCGAGTACCTCCACCTATACAGCTGTCAAAAGCACCAGCAGCTCTGGCAGTTCTAGCAGCAACAACCAGACCATCGCTATCGCGGTTCCCGTTGCAGTCGTTGGCGCAGCTATCATCGCAGCCATATTGTTCTTCATCCTAAGACGCAGGCGTCAAAAACGCAACCGCTCCACCTTACCACAGACCAACAACAATCAACCCCCAGTCGGCATGGGCGCAGTCCCTCGCCAAGTACGATCACCTCCACAACAACAACGACCACAGCAAGCAGCAAACGGCGCAACATGGGAATTTGCGCCCACAAACTCCCACGACATCCCCTTCACAGGTCCCATCCCAGGTCGTCCTGTCCCGCAAGAACCCGAGCATATGAACCCTACCAACAATCACCCCCGCGACTTTAGCCCACCAAGTACGAATAACCACAACTTTCATACCACTGCTACCGCCGCTGCCGCTGCTGCAGCAGAAGTTCCCAACAGAGACAACAACAACCCCGAGAGAAGTCCCCAGCCCACCATGCCAGCTGCCTGGCCCTCCCCCGAAGCCAGACTTGACCGTCCAATATCGCCCTTTGATCATCCACTCGACGACGCAGTATCTGAGATATCGCGTCGATCGTATACCCATCCTAGGGATATGGACGATGTATCATCTGTATCGTCGTTTGAAGATGATGAGCGAAGGCCAGCTATGCGTCGTTGAAGATGCCTTTTCACTCAAGAAAAATTTTCCTTTTGATACTTTCCCCCTCGGTTCCAATTAGCGAGCGAGTTTCACTTCAGTTTTGGAAGATGGATATACCAAGGTGCTACCCATTCGCTTTCCATGCTTTGTCTATTTTCTTGTCTTGTCATGTGAAGATACGTACGTGCGTGCATGCATACATACCCACTCTCGCTTTTGTACATACATGCATCTTGGTATATGGAATACGGAAACTGGTACTTTGATGGACTATGGATTAACGGACGGGGTATTGCGCGTGGAGGCGTTCATAAGGGAGTAGTTGAATCAAAATATCGGATTGGACATCGCACTTCTTTGATTCCGACATTAGTCGGCGACATACCACGCTTGTGTCAATATCCAGTAGTACTAGGCCTATGTATCCTGTATTCAAGGACGATGAGGAGTAATACATGGGAGATAAACCAGAAACTTCCTAGTAATGCTACCGAAAAATACGACGTCGCTCCGTTGAGCATGTACTCTCCGCTAATGAAATGATGTGTGCCATCTAATCCTAGTGTTAACGGGATACAGTAAGCTACGACCACAGAAGCTGCCAATGCTCGAACATACGCCAAGGAGTCGATACATCTCCCTGATTGTGAACTCCAGACTTGACGGCATGACCTTGATGATCATCACAGCGAAATACGAGTGATGTGCGTTCTAACCCGTCAGGCTCAGAATCCTCATCTACTGACAAAGGTCTAACTGGGCAGCTTCTCGTGTAAACCTGGAGCAGTACCTACTAGGGCAATTCCTGCCAGGCAATTGCGTTTCTACTAGGTACGAACAGTTCTTGCCAGTATCTACTTGTCCTTCTATCCAATGAGGGCCGGATTTGTCGAGTCAATGATGGTTGGGTGATGTCAGACGCTGAGTCAGCACCACGAGTCATGGTGCAGTCACGGGATCCACTGCACTGCTTCTGGAAGGCCGGAAATCGAATTGTTGGAGAAAACCAAAACCAAATCCTTAAATGGCGTGGAATGGCTGTCACTTCCGCTGGTTGATGTCATACCGTTGTAAGGCAACTCAATTCCTTTCCGGAGTGTTGTGCTAGGTGATTGATAAGAAAAGGGAGTATATTGGGGCAATGGGAGATGTTGTACTACTTTGTTTTCATGCGGTTGAGAGCAATTGCGGAGGGTTGATTTGTTCGGTTTGTTTGTCGAGGCGGAGAAATATTCAGTAAATCCGGGCCGGTCATCATGTGAGTGGGAGAAACAAGATCTTATATCATCTCCAACAAATGCAGTCAGCTTGTATAGGATGGAGGATGACTTCCTTCAAGGGGGAAGATCCCCCAAACCCCCATGCAATTCCAATGCCAATCCATCATCATCATCATCATCCTCTTTATCAGTATCTTTCACAAGCATGTCAGAGCTCTCCAGTAACCACTTTGTTGGGCCGAGGCTTGAAGGTTGGCCGAATTCCCAACAAAACGCTGCGCGGCTCCACTCGCCGCGATCATCGTGACTCTCATTGATCCACGGTCCAACTGCAATCCGGAGATTGACTGACCTCAATTATGAATTAATCACATCGGCCTTGCTTTAACTCCTTGTCACCAGCGATCACCGTTCGTTCGACCAACCGTTGCCTATCCTCCTCCTCCCTCTCCCCTCCTCCACGCTCGCGTAAGGTTTTTGGTCGCGCCTTACAATTGCTGCTTATCCCCAGTTCACAGCGGGATTTGCGCGCGCTCCCCTCCAGTATCCAGTTGTCCGAGTGGACTTGCTTGGCCTGGAAATTTTCCTGGTGATTTTCTTCTCTCGGCTCGGGCTAATTGAAGTGTCCCACCATTTCTTCTTAAAGAGTCGCCGGCCAATTCTCATCTTCTTTCCCTCCTGATTCTTCCTTCAATCTCCCATCCGTATCTTTTCCCTTATCGTCGGGTCGTCCCAAAGTCGCACGAAATCGCGTCCCGACCATGTACGACTTCACCGTCCACGGCGAGGCGAACCCGGCCGTCATTCGCATCGGCCTGCCTCCTTCGTCCCTCTTGAAATTCCCTCCCAGCGAGCTCCCAGCAACTGTCCCCGCCCCTGTGATCTCCGAGCCGACATGGAACCAGCCCTTCAACATCCCCCCGACGCTCTACAACCAGCTGTTGGACGTGCGCGTTCCGATCACAATCGCCAGTGTGTACGCTGTGACCGTGGTCCTCGTCAATCGCATCAACAAGAGCCGGGGTTACAAGCCTTATGGATTCAGTCAGACGCGTCTCTTTAAGCTGTTCGTCATCCTTCACAATGTTTTCCTGGCCATCTACTCGGCATGGACTTTTGCGGGCATGATCCGTGCGTTCCGCAGCTCGTGGCCCAGTCGGGATGATCCCAACTACGTCGCAGCTGTTGCCGATACGCTGTGCAAGATCAATGGGCCCCGTGGTTACGGTAACGCGGCTACGTACGACTCTACTGTCGACCAGTGGACTTTCCGCAACCCCGAGTTCAGCCTGGCTGCAGGCGGTGTTCCGGACCCCTCTGATCTTGGTCGTCTCTGGAATGAGGGTCTGGCCTTCCTCGGCTGGATTTTCTACCTGTCCAAGTTCTACGAGGTCCTTGATACCGTCATCATCCTGGCCAAGGGTAAGAAGAGCTCGACCCTGCAGACTTACCATCACGCCGGTGCCATGATGTGCATGTGGGCCGGTATCCGTTACGTCGCAGCTCCTATCTGGATCTTCACCTTGGTCAACTCTGGAATTCATGCTTTGATGGTATGTGACGTCCCTCTCGGGTTGTTTTTGACTTGTTGCTCATATGTTCTGACCGTCCCATGCAGTATACCTACTACACTCTGACTGCCCTGCGCATTCGCGTCCCCACCGTGATCAAGAGATCCTTGACCACCATGCAAATCACCCAGTTTATCATTGGCTCCACCATGGCTGCTTCCTACCTGTTCTTCAGCTACACTCTTCCTGTGGGCCAGACCGCTCCGGCCTCTCCTGTTGACACCCCGACTGTGCCGGCGGGTACTGCCGGCGCTGGACTTGTGCCATGGCTCAAGAAGCTCGGGTTCCGCGCTGCGGGCGCGGAAGGCATTGCTGAGAACGTGGGTGTCCCGGAAGCTGCTGCTGGTGCGCGCGTCCTCCATGTCGGACCGATGGTGACCTGTATGGACACCAGCGGCCAGGGTTTCGCTATCTGGCTCAACGTGATGTACCTTCTGCCTTTGACCTACCTCTTTGCCCGGTTCTTCGTTCGCTCGTACCTCTACCGCAAGGAGCCTGGTCCCCGTCAGCCGACTCAGTTGCACGCCGCTGAGAAGGCCGGAATGGATGCCCTGAGAGGCGTGAGCCGCGAGATCCGCAAGGCCGTCGAGGTCAACGGAGAGACCAGTGAAGCTACCGAAGATGAGGCTGTGAACAAGATCCAGGCCCTCCGGGCACAGAAGAACCAGCAGAAGCCTGCTGAGAATTCTCCTATTCGCACCCGCGCAACTGCTGCCAAGCAGAAAACGCGTGTCGCCAGCAGTGATGCTGACTCCGACTCGGGGTTCTCGACCGTCAGCGGCAAGAAGGGCGCGAAGAAGGCGACTAAGGAAGAGCTCCAGAGCTCGACCATTGTCGTGGACACTAAAGACTCCAACCCCTACGAGGTTCTGGATCGCTCTGCCTAAGTCTTCGGCACCGCTGGTTATGGGTGACTTATCTGGAGCCTCGAATCAGTATAGAAGGATAAACTATTTTTTATGAAGATCAACTGAAGGCGACATAGCCTGTCGCCTCGGCCCGAATCGCGAAATCGGCCTTTCGTCATGGCGGTTCGGGGATGTATGATACGTCGGTCGGTTTCCCTCGGGATTCATCGACCGTCCTGCAGAGGCAGGACCCGCGGTTTCCCCCCCCCCCCGCCGGGCCCGGGTTGGTTCCGGTCTGATGGCCCACGGTATCTGGAGTGTGGTCGCCGTCAGGCTAGCAGCCTATCCACGGGCCCGGTTACATACGGTTTCTTAATGTACTTTGGTTCTCTTGGACAGCTTCTCCTGGATTATTGTCTTCCCTGTTTCACCCCTGCTGTTCATAATCTTTCCCCGTTTATCTTGTGATAGATCCCTACTATTGTGTGTGTACATACTTCTTTTTGGAACCTCATCCACCGTTGGACATAGAGGCTGTTGGTTTAGGTGTCGGGATGGAATTGGAAAAGTTTCTGTAAATTAGTCAAAGAAATCGTTTGGAATTGGGCAATCATATTATCTTGATTAGATCTCAAACTATGATCTCGTAACAATGCAGCTCATCTGGTGGTGGCGTCGCGGTCATGTGCGCGCTGGGCTCTCTTACTGTGGGCTAGAATCCTGCACTCCCCCGTCATCATCTCCATCTCGAAATTCAACACGGCCCCTATAATACTATCTGTTTCATCAACGAATGACCTCCTTTATTGAAAGACTATCTAGCTCTCCCTTTGAACCTGGAAGTACGTTGACAGCTCTGTCCTTGGGGTTTCTGGTCAAGCTAACTGGTGTTGCTTACCTCGGTACAGCATCTCTGCGTCAGACAGGCATCGATCAAGCCATCCGATTCCCCCACAGGAAAATTGCACCCCGACGATCCCTCTGAATGGAGGAAAAACCCGGCATGGTTTCCCCACAGACTAGTTCCACCCCACATTGGCTGACACCTCCGCCGGACTTGTGCAGCGCAAGCTTGAATTTACAATGGTTTTGGTCCCTGGGTGTACTCCACCCCGAACCCTGTCCCGGTCTCATTAAGATGGCACTATCGGCACCGTTTAATCATTGGTTCTTTGGCCTCCATGTCCTCTTGAACGAATGGTAGCCTAGTACTATTCAAATTAACGAGTATTATGAGTTCGCTTGGCAGTCGTTGATTTCTTCACAGAGCCAGTTGTGGATAGTGTCATTCGGAGTTACGCTTACGCTTTTAAGAGAGACTTTCGGAAATAAATCAGGTCTCATGGGTTCTACGCCACTGATTAGGCTAGACGGCGGGG